GCCCGCCGCCTGCGGAACCCCCGCCCCGGGCAGCTCAGGGCCGTCTCCACCGTCTCAGCGGAGCTGGGTCGGGCTCTTGGTGCGCGCGGGAGCCCGACCCGACCAAGGATGCGCCCACCCGTTTCCCGATTTGCACAAGCCCCTATTTGCACGAGCAACAGCACGCAGGAGGCAGCGGGAAACGGGGTTTTCCAGGGACGCTGCAGGCTTCAGCCACGAACACGTGCATCGCCGCAGGCCCCAAGCCTGGCTTTAGGCTCCTAATTACAGAGAGAAAGCTGGAGCTTTCAATAAGGAAGCAATCAGCAGTTTTTATTTCCATGGCGCGATCATCGTTAGCAGGCGAAGGTGTCGGGTCCGGTCGCTCGCTGGCTGCGGCTCCTGGACTTGCCATTTTGTTGCCTTGAGCCATTTTGCGCCTGCAAGCGTTCGCCTGAATTTGCCGAACTTGTCAGGATTTCAGGGCGTCGGGTAACCGTGCTAGCTACACGATACAGTTTTCCAGTGCTCGTTTGCTGGCAGGGAGCTGCTGCATGGCACTCTGGGGCAGGGAATGGCCCTTGCTGCACAGTTGGTCACGACCAACATCTGCTCCAGCCGGCGCCTTGGTGTGACCGCAGCAAGGACCAGCTGGTTCGGTTGGGGTGGGCTCACCCGCCCGGCGCCGTGCCCTACTCAGCCCCTCGAGGCTGAGCCGAGATCATCTTGGATGGTCTTCCCCGAGCCCGGATTTCTGCTGCGGCTGCAGCCAACGTCCCCAAGCTGTAGTGCGCAACCCCGCTGAGATGTCAGTGGTGGCTTCAGCCGTCACGGACAAAACCAGGGCACCAAGCACCGCTCGTGGGAGGCCACGCTGTCCTCCCTGCCTGCAGGACCGGGAGCTCAGGCAGCTCCTCCAGCAGACACGCGGTGCAGAGGAAAGCTGGAGGGCAAGGTCCTTACGGAGCAACATCCCTGGACTGGCCACAGGGAAACGCAGGGAACGGAGAGGAGGAACCAGCCGAGCAGATACAACGCATGGGAGCGTTCACCATAACGCTCCCACCTCTGGCAGCGTTAGAGACCCCAGGGCAGTTTCTGTAGGAGTGGGGGTGTCAGCCCTGGCCCAGAATTGTTTAAGTACTAGTTTGGGGTAATTGCACAGCAACCTCTGAAAACGCAGCTGGATCTATCTTAATTTAGCTTCTCAGCTGCAACCTTCCTTCCCAGGAACAGCTTCCCTTCAGCAACGCGACTACAGGAACGCCAAGAACGTTTGGCCAGGGCATTACGCCCCCCCCTCATCATCCTTAATTACACCGCCCCCCCCCCAAATCCCAGGAGTTTAGATGAGACAAAAGAACCTATCTGCTTCTAAGTCAGGGTTGAGGAATAAGGGATGGCGAGGAACAGTGGAGAAAGGTGATAATTAACACTAGGTCAAGCCAAAAAACGCCACCAGCTGCAGATGAGTGTCAGAAAGCAAAGTCCGACCGCCACCGAGCTGCCCCAAGGGGGGCCGAGGCCGCCCGGGAGCGACTGCGAGGTGGCAGCACGGCTCAGGCCTTGGGAGACCTCGCGGGGGGCGCGCGCCCTCTCTGAGGGCCTTTGCAACGGTGCAAACTACCTGCTGATCGCAGCGGGTCGAGCGCTCATTTGAGGTTGTCCCATTGGGAAGGAGACGAGAGCGAGAGCTGGCGCCCCTCTGCTGTGCTGAAGGGGTGCTTAAATAACTCGAGTTTGAGCGGAAGGACTGGCTGGGTTTGGGTTTTTAAAAAAAAAAAAAAACCCACTCACAATAGAAATCTCTTTGCAGCAGAAATTTTTGAAAGCAGTTCAGGCAGAAGAGACGGGAACTATTGCTTTGTCATGGCATCTCTGCCCCAGCGGGCCGCGTGGCCTGGACAAATGCAATAATCCTCCCTTAGCGCATCCATTTGTTAAATAAGAAAAATGCCTGACGCAGTATTTCGCAGCAATATCAGTTAGTATTTGGGCCGCGTTTCCACCGTCAGCGTCTCTTATGTGAGTGCTGTTGCACGCTGACAGCGCGAGATGTTATATCACCCCAGCGCACCATCTGAACACACGTCCATAGCCCGGCTTAAAGCCCAACCTCTGTTTTATTAAGGTAACGGCACCCGCTCTTCTGGGTCTCAACCTGCTGAGGAACGAGGAGAGGGGGGAAAAAATCCCACAAAGTGGCTGCTACCCGCTCCGAGCCCCCAACCCGCGTTGGAGGGTCCTCACCACCTCCCTCACCAGCCTCCTCCCCGAAGGCCAGGCGCTTCCACCGCTTTCAGTGGCGTTCGGATCAAACCAAGTTAAAAACTGCAATTTTCTGGCTAAAAATCCCAGTAAGCAACAGCCAGTTTTCTGGGCAAAGCCTCACTGGGGAAACGGTGGCAGGTCCCGCCTGCCCCGGGACGGGATGGGACGGGACCGGACCGGGAATGGGGACAGCACGGGCGCGATGCCAGCCCTGGCCAGCTCAGCCTCCACCCCGGCACCGCTCCCCCCCGCCACCGCCTCCAAAACGCGTTTGGCCCCCGCGGACCCGTTTCTTGCGTGCTGTCATCCTCGCCCAGCCTTCCTCCCAAAGACTCGCGGTTTGCCCGCAGCAGTCTAGACACGCGGTTCAGAAGTGACTCACAGCTTTTCCTGTGCTTAAAAAGCCTGTGCTGACCTCTGACTCAGAATTTCGATTTGGGCTTTAAGGGTAGAAATCTGGGCATCAACGTTGACCTTGGATCTTCCCCTCCCGCCTCTCTGCACTTCGGACACCCGGCTCTCCCACCTCCGGCGAACGCTGCCAGGAATCACCCGTGACGGGTGACGGGACCCTCTTTCTGCCGAGAGCCCTAGCTC